AATCTTGCATCATTCACACGTTTAAACTTTCCTGTTCCATAGAGAGCGTACACAAGTGATTCTAATGACAAGATCACACCTGGAAATACTTCTGGATAATACCCATTCTTTCTTTTTCACATGAATGATGATGTGTAGTCGCATCCTGTAAAAGCCTGTAAGGCAGAGCAGATGGTCTCTCTAGGCAGTAACATCTATATATCTACGAGAGTTGTTGCTGTCATCCAAACTGTGGTTGTACCTTTGTAAAGAAGGATCTCTAATATATCTGTGTCATTTGCTCTAACGTCTGTTTCCTTGATATGGTTCACAACTCGTGTGTCTGCTTCCTCATGCTGACGGCCAAGTTCACAAACACTGATCCTCTTTTACTTCAATTTTATAAGACTCTTCTTTTAGTGCTAGATAGATATAATGACCGTCTAACATTTCTTTTTATGTGTCCTTTTACCATTCAGCTGCAAGGAATTTGAAGAGTGATGTCTTGAATGGGCCGGATGACAGTGTTTGACTGAAGTTTTTTGGTCATTTCTGATCAGGGTCAGCAATAACAATGTTGACCTTAGGTGTACCTCGTCTGTATAATTCATTGTCTTTGAGTGATGACGTTGTTCAAGTATCACACACAAAGTTCACACGTCTAGCATGAGCACACGACTTTGACAGCAGGACTTCAGCCACCCCGCCATAGGTATACAGCAGGGAGATCTGACACAAGAATAGACTGTGGAAGGTGGCCGACTGTTTACTTTCGTTTCAAGTTTGTTAACTAGTGCAGACTTTCCAGTTGTATTAATTAAACCGTTAAGATGTGCCAGAGATGCAGGTACAGGGGTGATGGGGTAACTCAAAACTTTACAAAGATTAATATCAATTTCTGTGGCTAGGTATAATAACCTTCCAAATAGGTCTCTTGTATCTCTGGGATCTTCATATGTTTGCCAGTTAACTTAAATTTACTTCCTCTGTTGTAAAGTTGTTCACTCTACGCCGTGGTATTGGTTGTTCAACTCCACCAGCATCATTAAAACAGCCTGTTACAAACTGATCACACCACTTCTGGCCAATATCAATACAATTGTCAACTCTTCTTTCACTTTTTCTCAAACTACACAGCCAGTTGAAATGCAATACAGATATTCATCACTAACAGCTTCTGCAAAGGGATTGAGCCTTGATTCAGTGCCTGTGATCAGCTTTTGTTGGTCATCATTGTCGTCATGCCACTCATTTAACACCATATTTATTGACCTTTAAGTACAACAATGTTATTTCCCTGTGTGTATAAAGTGGCCACCACGCGGAACAATGTTTAACCCTTTGCCACAGGTTTTTGACTAGGCTGTATCAAGTAAGAAATGTTATTTTGACTGACTCATGTAATATATATATTTGAAGAATACCATCAGACCTTTTGGCCTCAGACGGAGATTACTCCCCCCCCCCAGCTCTTGTTCTAATGTGGTATTTTGTCAAGGTCGTCAATGGTCGTCAATGTATTCAGTTGTCGCCTGGAACAATATGACAAGAATAATGCAATAAAATTTATAGAGGTATGGGACCACTTACACGGTATAGAACCAGGGATGGTGCTCACCTTTCTAGATCAGAAAACTATGCTGGCTACCTAGGCTAGTAGATAGGCTGTGTGTGTGTGTGTGTGTGTGTGTGTGTGTGTGTGTGTGTGTGTGTGTGTGTGTGTGTGTGTGTGGGGTGGGTGTGGTGGGTGGGTGGGTGGGTGGGTGGGTGGGGTGGGTGGTGGGTGGGGGTGGGGTGGGGTGGGTGGGTGGGTGGGGTGGGGTGGGGGTGGGGTGGTGGGGTGGGTGGGGTGGGTGGGTGGGTGGTGGGTGTGGGGTGGTGGGTGGGTGGGTGGGTGGGTGGGTGGGGTGGGGTGGTGGGTGGGTGGTGGTGGGTGGGTGGGTGGGTGGGTGGTGGGTGGGTGGGTGGGTGGTGGGTGGGTGGGTGGGGTGGGTGGGGTGGGTGTGGGTGGGTGGGTGGGTGGGTGGGTGGGTGGGTGGTGGGTGGTGGGTGGGTGGGTGGGTGGTGGGTGGGTGGGTGGGTGGGTGGGGTGGGTGGTGGTGGGTGGGTGGGTGTGGTGGTGGTGGTGGGTGGGTGGGTGGTGGGTGTGGGTGGGTGGTGGGGTTGTCAGACCACAGCTTACATCTCAGAAACTCCAGTCTGACCGGACATTAGCCGAGGGCAAAAGTATAGGGTAACTCTGCGGTTGACCAAGGATTGTAAATCAACTAGCTCCCCTCCCATGTGACATGTGGCCCCAACAAAACATGTAAGAAGGCACCAGCTGACCCTCTTCCGATATACAATAACCTACTCTCTGAACAAAGGCCGGACCTGACCTCACAATTAGCCAGGTCACAAACCAACCAGGGCCTCTCGTGTTACACGGCCCCACCTGACGACTTCTCCTTACATCTCAGAAACTCCAGTCTGGCCCGACGTTTGGGAAGTCAAGTGTAGGGGAACTCTCACGGTTGCTCTCCCAATATACACATGGCCCCACCTGATGACTTTCCCAGATAGTTCTGAAAAGGTCCAGGCCTGACCGCACATTTGCGGGGTCAAATGTAAGGAGACCCTTCGCCGCCCCCCAGGCCAGCTGAACCTGACGGCTCGCTTCCCAATATATAGGACGTCCTGGTCCTCCCTCGAGGATTGGCAGAGAAGCAGTTGTCTTGTAACAAGGTGGCCAGCTACGACACCACCAGGCCTGCTCGAGCCGAAGTCAGAGGCCGGAGGCAAGTCGCCTCCGGTCAGGACCGAGACTTCCCTCCGGTGTCCCAGCTAAGCAGTCGCCCACCCGACACCAGTGTCCCCGCTAAGCAGTCGCCCTCCCGATACCAGTGTCCCAGCTAAGCAGTCTCCCTGCTAGGCCTTCCCTAGGTCACGTGAGTGTTTGTCAGAGCTTTCCATGGGATGAGTTACCTACGTGGGAAGTGTATTCATTTCATGTTCGTGTCCGAGAATCAGAGTGTCTAGTAACGTAATATGATGTCCTAGTAACGTAAATATAATGTCCTAGTAACTTCAATAGAAGGTGTTATTAATGTGTCCATGTCATGTTCGTGATTAATAAACAGTTGTAACGAAGCAGTGTTTGAGAAGTCGCCTTTAAGAACGTAATAGATGTGTATTGACGTATAAGATACGATAAGTGTACGATAAGAGTAAATAACTATCACGGCCACGCTACCAAAGTCTTCCCCTCTTTTATACTCTATCTCTATATCTTCTACTCTTAAACCTCCTAACTTACTTCTTCTAACAAGATCTGTATCATTACATGTGTGTGTGTGGTGTGTGTGTGTGTGTGTGTGTGTGTGTGTGTGTGTGTGTGTGTGTGTGTGTGTGTGTGTTCAGGGATGGTGCTCACCTTTCTAGATCAGATAACTATGCTGGCTACCACAGTAGATAGGCTGTAGTGTGTGTGTGTGTGTGTGAACCAGGATGGTGCTCACCTTTCTAGATCAGAAAACTATGCTGGCTACCCAGGCTAGTAGATAGGCTGTGTGTGTGTGTGTGAACCAGGATGGTGCTCACCTTTCTAGATCAGAAAACTATGCTGGCTACCAGGCTAGTAGATAGGCTGTAGTGTGTGTGTGTGTGTGTGTGTCTGTGTGTGTGTGTGTGTGTGTGTGTGTGTGTGTGTGTGTGTGAACCAGGATGGTGCTCACCTTTCTAGATCAGAAAACTATGCCAACATTAAGAGTCACACAAGCCTGGAATAATCGCTCTTGAGTAATACATGCCCTGTATCAGTACAGCTTCTCATATAGACAAATCCAGCACCACGAACACCACGCATATAAGAATAGATGCAACCCCCCTTGGTACGGTTCATTACCCACACAGTTACCTACTGAGCATAAATACTTAAGGTTTCTCTGCCGACTACAGCTTCAGTACATCCTCGCTCCTCAGGTGCATGCCGCTCCCGGAAGGTTTCAAGAAGCATAGCGAGTCTTGTGGAAAATATTACCCTTAGTGACTGTTTGAGAAGTACAACTCATGCATATAATGTCCAAGAAAATTATTTAGTATTGTGTAACTGAATTATAGACTTTCATAATTATTGAATGGTGAAGGTATTATGGACCATCTGTGTAAAAAGTTGCCATGCAGGCCAGCACAGGTCACAAAATAAAGGAATATAACCCCAGAATTCATTATAATACCAACTGAAAAAGACAGAAAACAATTCCTTCCGAAGGTAAAATATAGCCATTTTGCGCCTTTTTCTTCCTGGGTCAAGAACTTTGTGATTATAAATCTGGTCACCTTGCTGCCGGCCGCTGGTTCCAGTTCATAGGAGGACAAACTAAGATGATGCCTCTGTTGTTGTTGGTGAAGGCCGGGTGTGTTGGTAGAGAGCGACAGTGTTGGTGAAGGCCGTGGGTGTTGGCAGAGAGCGACAGTGTTGGTGAAGGCTGTGTGTTGTGGGAGAGCGACAGGCAGAAGGCCGGGGTGTGTTGGCAGAGAGCGACAGGCAGGAAGGCCGGGTGTGTTGGCAGAGAGCGACAGGAAGGCCGTGGGTGTGTTGGTCAGAGTGACAGTAAGCCGGGGTGTGTTGGTCAGAGAGCGACAGAAGCAGGAAGGCCGTGGGTGTGTTAACAGAGAGCGACAGTGTTGGTGAAGGCCGGGTAAGTTATCAAAGAGTGACAGTGTTGGTGAAGGCCGTGGGTGTGTTGGTCAAAGAGTGACAGTGTTGGTGAAGGCCGTGGGTGTGTTGGTCAGAGAGCGACAGTGTTGGTGAAGGCCGTGGGTGTGTTGGTCAGAGAGTGACAGTGCTGGTGAAGGCCGTGGGTGTGTTGGTCAAAGAGTGACAGTGTTGGTGAAGGCCGTTGGTGTGCATAAGAAAGAAAAGTCGTGACTCGTCTTTGTGGAAAAGTAAAGCTGCAGAAGATACAATTACGCCACTATGACGCCACCGTCTTACACCTGTCAGTAATAGTTCTTCTGTCTAGTATGATAATTATTTTCAGGGCTGCATGTACCCGTGGGGGTTCCTCCAGCACTACTGCCTGGCCCCCTGCCACTTGATGTTAATCTTCATCTGCTCCTCTCCGGGGTTAATGCTGCACACATAGACTGGGCAGCCCAGGTGTCTCAACAACTACTGCCAGTTAACAGGTAAGATACAGACTCCTACTTTGTATTGATCAATTATTTATTATACATAAACTTTTATATTACTGTATAATAATATAACAAATAATAATAATAATATTAATAATAATAATGTAATATCAATAATAATTGATTATTATTAGAAGAAGAAGAAGAAGGAGGCTGGATCATTGTTAGTTTGGTGGACTGTTTCATTTTGGTCAATATTTGATGATTAATACAATGGCTGTACAGTACAATAGTCTTTTGTGGACACGATAAAAAAAGTTTAGTTTGGTTCTTCCCAGTTGAGAATCACCAAGTAAAAAACGTGTTCCTTTTCTTTACGTTACAACGACCGTTTTTCATTAAAAAGGAACAAAAAACTAATATTGAAGAAACTAAAACTGATATTGTGGAAGTGATAATTACCTGAAGATGATCTTTGTTGTAGAAGAGCGGAGAAAGTGAAGATGGTATCGTCCCCAGCCCCTCTCATTCTCCACACCAGCCACTCTCTGACTCTACTGTGTTAGCTTACGTTATGAGTGGTAAGGTTAGGATGGGTTAGGTTATGAGTGGTATGGTTAGGTTAGGTTATGTTAGGTTATTATTGGTTAGGGGCCTCCACCCATTATCTTACACAGGGCCCCCAACCATTATCTTGTACAGGGCCTCCAACCGTTATCTTACACAGGGCCCCCAACCATTATCTTGTATAGGGCCTCCAACCGTTATCTTACACAAGGCCCCCAATCATTATCTTGCACAGGGCCTCCAACTGTTATCTTACACAGAGACCCCAACATTATCTTGTGCAGGGCCTCAACTGTTATCTACACAGAGACTAATCATTATCTTACACAGGGCCTCAACTGTTTATCTTACTGAGACCCCAACCATTATCTTGTACACAGGGCCCCAACCATTATCTTGTACAGGGCCTCCAACTGGTACCTTACACATGGCCCCAACCATTATCTTGTACAGGGCTCCAACTGTTACCTTACACAGCCCCCAACCATTATCTTGTACAGGGCCCCCAACCATTATCTTGTACAGGGCCCCCAACCATTATCTTGTACAGGCCTCCAACTGTTATTACACAGGGCCCCAACCATTATCTTGTACAGGGCCTCCAACCGTTATCTACACAGGGCCCCCAACCATTATCTTATACAGGGCCTCCAACTGTTATCTTACACAGGGCCCCAACCATTATCTTGCACAGGGCCTCCAACTGTTATCTTACACAGGGCCCCCAACCATTATCTTGTACAGGCCTCCAACCATTATCTTATAGAGGGCCCCAACCATTATCTTGTACAGGGCCCCCAACCATTATCTTGTACAGGGCCTCCAACTGAATCTTACACAGGCCCCCAACCATTATCTTGTACAGGGCCTCCAACTGGTACCCACACGTGGCCCCCAACCATTATCTTGTACAGGGCCTCCAACTGTTATCTTACACAGGCCCCCAACCATTCTCTTGTACAGGCCCCAACCATTATCTTGTACAGGGCCCCCAACCATTATCTTGTATAGGGCCTAACTGTTATCTTACACAGGGCCCCCCAACCATTATATTGTACAGGGCCTCCAACTGTTATTCCTACACAGGGCCCCCAACGATTATCTTGTACAGGGCCTCCAATTGTTATTTACACAGGCCCCCAACCATTATCTTGTACAGGGCCTCAACTGTTATCTTAAACAGGGCCCCAACCATTATCTTGCACAGGGCCTCCAACTGTTATCTTTACACAGGGCCCCCCCATTATCTTGTACAGGGCCTCCAACCGTTATCTTACACAGGGCTTCCAACCATTATCTTGTTACAGGCCCCCAACCATTATCTTGTACAGGGCCTCCAAATGTTATCCCATACAGGGCCCCCAACCATTATCTTGTACAGGGCCCCGAACCATTATCTTGTACAGGGCCTCCAACTGTTATCTTACACAGGCCTCCAACCATATCTTGCCAGGGCCCCCAAGCATAATCTTGTACAGGGCCTCCAACTGTTGTTCACACAGGGCCCCCAACCATTATCTTGTACAGGGCCTCCAACTGTTACTCTACACAGGGCCCCCAACCAATTATCTTGCAGGGCCTCCCAACTGTATACAGGGCCCCTAATGTAGGGCTCCAACAATTACACAAGGGCCCAACCATTATCTTGTACAGGGCCTCCAATCCACAGGCCCCCAACCATTATCTGCACAGGGCCTCCAACTGTTACACAGGCCCCAACCATTATCTTGCACAGGGCCTCCAACCGTTATCTCCACACAGGGCCCCAACCATTATCTTGCACAGGGCCTCCAACCATTATCAGGGCCCCAACCATTATCTTGTACAGGCCCTAAATATCTTACACAGGCCCCCAACCATTATCTTGTACAGGCCCTCCAACCGTTATTTTTCACAGGGCTTCCAACCATTATCTTGTAAAAGGCCCCCAACCATTTTCTTTGTACAGGTCCTCCAAATGTTATCTTGAGCAATACGTAACTGAACGAAGTATGA